CTTCCAAGAAAAGCCCCATAATTATGTGTTGATACATTGAGCACAAAAGAAAGGTTTATGAATATCTTGTTAAGAGGTATTGAGCAGATATATAAATTTAACAAGAGTTTGTTTATCTGGATAGATTAATGGAAGTTAAATGATGAATACCTTGCTTTGTGGAATTTGCAAATTGTTTTTCTATTTTAACGCTTTGATTACTAGGGACTAGTAATAAGCTGGTTGGGGGGGTGTGATTAGTACTTAAAAGTGCATTTTTATCATGGTTTTATATCATCATTTTGCACTTGAAGTATCAATAACTCCTTAACTAAAATATGTTTTATAATAATGTATCTAATAATATAAGATACCTATAATTTATGGTAAATGTCTATTTTTAATGCAGGCCTATCACATAAATGAAAGGATTGATTGATGACTTGAAGAACTTAAATTGCAAGGATAAAGAGATGGCCAAACTTAGAAAAGAGATGTCGGTGCAATCCAAACCGGAACACTGTTCGGTAATTGGGTCATATCTAGAGCTATATATCTCAGATTTAGGTCCAATTTATACCTTAAGGTATCAATAACTCCTTAACTAAAACATGTTTTATAATAATATATCTAATAATATAAGATACCTTTAATTTGTGGTAAATGTTCATTTTAAATGCAGGCCTATCACATAAATAAAAGGTTTGATTGATGACTTTAAGAACTTAAATTGCAAGGGTAAAGAGATGACCAAAATTAGAAAAGAGATGTCGGTGCAATCCAAACCGGAATACTGTTCGGTAATTGGGTCATATTTGGAGCTATAGATCTCAGATTTAGGTCTACTTTATATGGATGGAAAGGTAAGACATAGGCCTACAACTTTCATATGGAGCCCAAGATCTGAAAAAGCCATTTTCAAGTCCAAATTATAGCAACAACAAAGAAGCCCGAATCTGTCCTCCAGCCCGTAAGACATAGGCCTACAACTTTCATATGGAGCCCAAGATCTAAAAAGGCCATTATCAAGTCCAAATTGTAGCAACAACAAAGAAGCCTGAATCTGTCTTCCAGCCCGAGCACTGTTCGGTATTTTAGCCATATCTAGAGTTCTAGAAGTCCAAATGAGCTGAATTTTTTACACAAGAAGATGAGACAATTACCTACAACTTTCATGTTTTCAAGCGGCTCCAATTTTGACGTTATCAATGACGTTTTGGGCAGACAAGAGAAGATAAGGATTGTCACCAAGTCAAGAGTTGGCCACCCACTCATCAATTAGTCATCAAATCAATAGTTCCCAATTTTGGCCTATAAAAGGAGGTATTTGCCATGCATTTAGGCATCTTGGTGTTCAGATCAAGATCATGCTCTTCCTTTCTCTCTTTGTATTTTTTGTAATGTTTATGCTTTGCTTTCATTAATATCAAGTTTATGCCTTTTATTTCCTTTCCTTTACTTAGTTAACTTTTATCTTATTTATGTTCTTATTGTGTTTATCTATTTTTCTTTCTTTCATTATGTCTAGCTAAGTTAATTATGTCAAGGTTTTGTTTATCTATTTTGCTTTCTTTCATTATGTCTAGCTAAGTTAGTTATGTCAAGGTGAAAAGGTTACACTAATGGTGTAAGAATAAGTATAATGTAAACTTAATATGGACTTTAATTTTTGATACTAACATGTTTTATATTTGTTATCTTGTTTACTCTTTAATACTTTGCTTGTTAAATGATTAATCTTGATTTATGTTGTATAACACTTGGTACAACAAATGCTTGGCACTTTCATAGCCCATAATGTATGGTATAACCGACACCTGAGCTATGAAAGGAACTTGATTTGTTGTTAACATAAGTTATAATCATGAATGCTTGATGAGATTTACAAGTACTAGCAGTAATTGAATAAGATGACTAATGTAATCATGTTAACAATCTATAATCTGATTGAAACCTCCTTTGTGTGTGGTTTCCAATTGAATAATAAGAGTTTATAATATACTTGTTTGACATACCATTAGTGGAACCTCTAACCTTGACATTTGTTATTATTATTGTTTAATCCTTACATTAATTTTCCATCTCCAAGTTCTCATCATCTTCTTCTTCTTCGCTTTCGTTATTATTATTATTATTATTTTTATTATTATTAGTACTATTATTATTATTATTATTATTATTATTATAGTTATTATTGTTATTGTCATTGTTGTTATTGTTGTTATTACTATTATTATTGTTGTTATTATTATTATTGTTGTTGTTGTACTATTGTCGTTTATAATTTGTACAATTAACCTCCCTGTGGTTCGACCCCGGTCTTGCCGGGTTATTTATTACTTCGACACTCCTGTACTTGGGAGAAGACATCAATCTTTTAGTCATGTCATATTAGCATTAATCGAATAAGATGACTAATGTAATCATGTTAACAATCTATAATCTGATTAGAACCTTCCTTGTGTGTGGTTTCCAATTTAATAATAAAAGTTTATACTATACTTGTTTGACATACTATTAGTGGAACCTTTAACCTTGATATTTGTTATTATCATTGTTTAATCCTTACATTAATATTTCATCTCAAAGTTCTCATCGTCATCATCTTCTTCTTCTTCTTTTTTCTTTATTATTATTGTTGTTGTTGTTGTTACTATTGTTGTTGTTTATAATTATTTTTTATAATTTGTACAATTAACCTCCTTGTGATTCGATCCCGGTCTTGCCGGGTTATTTATTACTTCAACATTCTACACTTGGAAGAAGACATCAATCTTTTAGTCATGTCATTATCTAAACTGTGAAGAAACACCACCTGAGCCTTTAGGCATTCCTAAGAAGCAAGATTTAGCACTGTTGTTGCAAGAGCCTGTTTTGAAGCCAGGTTTATACAAGTAAAGAGTATAAGAACCAACCTCAGATTGAATAGAGTGGTTATGAAAGTGTTGCATGAGATCATAGTTTAACAGTTCTGCATGAAAATCTAAAAAAGGCATAGATTCTCTCTAGAAAGAAGCATATATGTAGTGACAAAGGAATGAAATGAAGAATTAAGACCATTGAGAACATATAAGATTAAATCAGAATCAGTAATTGGTTTCCCAACAACAGAGAGTTCATCAGCAAGATTTTTAACTTCATCCAAAAAATTCTGATAGGATAGAGAACCTTGTTGTAAAGACTATAATTTTCTCTTGATAAGAGAAATGTGAGAAGTTGAGGGTGCAACAAAACGTGCACCAAGGGCTTGCCAAACAAGTCTAGAAGTCTCAAGGCCATAAATAGTAGAGACCACCATAGGAGATAATGAAGAAATAATCCACCCAAGTAAGGTGTGGTCCTTATACTGCCAAGTTAGATAAGCAGTATTAAGAATCCCTTGAGCAGGATAGGAATCAGAACCATCAATGATTCTCATAAGTCCATAACTCCAAAACAGAGAAAGCAATTGAGCAGACCAAACAAGAAAGTTAGTTCCATCAAGTTTGATGAAAATCAATTGAGCTGGAAGATGAAATGTAACGAAAGACAATGAAGAATTTGTTACCGCAGCCATAGAATTGTTAGAAGTGTTAGCTATGAGCGGCTTTGATACGATGAAAGAATTTAAAATACTTTTGTAAATGCTTGAGAGAAACTGTGTTCTCTCAGCCATATGCATATCAAAGTTTTTATAGGATATTCATCGTTAATTACAAGTATTTTGACATAGAAGAGAAGCTAAGGATAAGCAGGAATCAGAGTTCTAATACAATTGCACTAGAACTTAATGTCTTTCAGCAGCCTCTACAAGGTTTATCTTTATCATTAACATGAGCTCTATCTTTATTAAATATAAACCTCCATTTATCATAGAATTAAATTAATAAAATATTTATTTGAAATTAAATATTTATTTTTATTATCATAAAATTAAATAAAAATTAATTTTAAGAATTCATTATCTAAAAGTAAAAAATCCAATGATTATATTTTGAATAACATGTTTGGAATAACAATAACTGTTTTTTTTTTAATTTGTTTATTTAAAAATATATTAGAATAACATATTTTTTATCTTTTACAATTTATTTTTAATATAAACACATTAAAACAATCAAAATGCAAATAAAATTACCTTCAAGAAAAAAATTAATTACTGAAAACCCCGCTTCCGCTGTTAAAACAAACACGTTCGTTGTTGTTGTCATCTTATAAAAAGAAAAAACAAATACGAAAAACATCTCTCGTACCGTCAACGGACCCCACTTGCATTTTAGATGGGGAAATTTGGACATTAAAAAAACCTAGGAATTGGAAAAGAGTAAAGAAAACACAAGTTGCTATACTTTAGCGTAAGACTCAATTAATTGTAAGCCTCAGTTACGTGAGTCGATAATCATCATATTTTCTTTCTTTAATGATCCCAAGCGACAAGTGTTCATCAACAAATGCAAAAAAGCAATTAAAACAAATTGAAGTAAATGAATAGAAAAACTTTGGCACAGTTGACTGACTCTATCAAATTAACCAATATTTACCATTTGGTCCAACACTAATTAACTAGGAATAGAGAAACAATCTCAAGGATGACGGGCTTGCTAAGCAAGTATTTTGTCCTAACGGAATACAGTAAATATCAATGTTTTTTATAAATTGTAAATACAGTAATTGCTTACAATAAAATTAACTAGAAATTAACATCAAAAAAATTAATAACCGAACCGTGCTTGTTCAGTTAAGAAAACTTTAACTACTATGAAAAATAAATAGCATAACTTTTACTATTACATGAGAAAGATGGAGAACTTTACTGTAAGAGTCTAACTGACTAATTCTTCTTCCACCCCTTACTATTTTACTTAATTTCGTGGTGCTTTCCAACAATGCCAGCTGCGTGCATGTGTCTACTACTTTTGCTTAGTTTCGTGGTGCTTTCTCCTGCAAATGAATAGAAAGCATATCCTTTCTCTTTCTCCTATATAAAGAATACAATTACATACATCATTTCAATACCTAACTCTTTGTTATTTAGAGGCATTGCTAAGTCGTCTTTCCTTCTTTCTCGTTTTAATTTCATGTCTTACTCATAACGAAAACTTGAAAGCTTTATGTTCAGATAGATAATCATTGACCAGTTTATTGAGTCCCTTGTAGGTCTTCAAGTACAATATCATTCTATTTTAGATATGCAGAAAGAAAAACGCAAGCAATCCAAAGATGAAGAAAACGATTCATCCTCGCGAAAGAGAAGAAAAGCTGACGAAAGTAAGGCAGATGTGTGTGTCTATATATATATATAGGAACTGCTGATTCGATTTGAATGTGTTATTTGATTCGTCTGATCATAGGAGAGGTTGATTCTACTACTTCAGCCTTGCATTTACTCGAACTTCCTGGTGCTTTCTCCTGCAAATGAGTAGAAAGCATATCCTTTCTCCTATATAAAGAATACAATTGTATTATCTTTGTTAACTCTTAATTTGTTATACAGAGGTATAACTCACTCTTCTTTGCTTCTTTCTTGTTTTAATTTCATGTCTTTACCAATAACAACAATGTGGAAGCTTTATTTGTTTCATGTTTAACTTCAGTTGTATTGTCTTATGCTCTCTCATTATTAAGCTTAAATTGTTGTATTATCTTCGATGATCACTTCACATGTATCAGCAATTGCTCCGTTGCTAATTGATTGTTCCTTAAATTATACATGCAGCTGCCATGACAGGGCCAGAGTCTTCTCGTTCTACACCAGAAGGGGCCTATGATGTCTTCTTGAGCTTTAGAGGAGAAGATACTCGCAAGACGTTTACTGATCATCTATATACTGCCTTGGTCCAAGCAGGAATCCACACTTTTCGAGATGATGATGAACTTCCAAGAGGAGAAGAAATCTCCAAGCATCTCCTCAGGGCAATTCAAGAATCAAAGATATCCATAGTTGTCTTCTCAAAAGGATATGCTTCTTCTAGATGGTGTCTCAATGAACTTGTAGAGATTCTGAAGTGCAAAAGGAAGAAACCTGGTCAGATTGTTCTTCCAATATTCTATGACATTGATCCTTCAGATGTGAGAAAACAGAATGGCAGTTTTGCATTGGCATTTGATAAGCATGGAGAGCGTTTTGAAGAGAAGTTGGTGAAGGAGTGGAGAAAAGCTCTTGAGGAGGCTGGAAATCTATCTGGATGGAGTCTCAATGATATGGCAAATCGGTATGCCTTTTTCTCCTCCAAGATTCACTTGCACACATTTATGTAGTCAATATACTTTACAATTTTCAATGTGAAACAATAAAATATATTTTTATAGCATGCTTAATTGACTTGCTTTTGTCTATGAGCAGGCATGAAGCAAAATTTATCAAAGAGATTATCAAGGATGTGTTGAATAAATTAAGTCGCGAGTACTTATATGTTCCTGAGCACCTAGTAGGTATGGATCTTGCTCCCGATATTTTTGAGTTTCTAACTACTGCAACAGATGATGTACGCATTGCGGGCATACATGGGATGCCGGGAATAGGAAAGACGACTATGGAAAAAGTTGTATTTAATCAACTCTGCTATGGATTCGAGGGAAGCTGTTTTCTTTCGATTATCAAGGAAACATCAAAACCATTCAACGGTCTGGCTCGTTTACAAAAGCAACTTCTTCATGATATTTTAAAACAAGATGTTGCTAACATCAATTGTGTCGATAGAGGAAAGGTTCTGATCAAAGATCGACTTTGTCGCAAAAGAGTTCTCGTTGTTGCTGATGATGTGACTCATCTGGAACAGCTCAATGCATTGATGGAAGAGCGAAGTTGGTTTGGTCCCGGAAGTAGAGTAATTATTACAACAAGAGATTCAAATCTTCTTCGTAAAGCGGATCGAACATATCAGATTGAAGAATTGACACGAGATCAGTCCCTTCGGCTTTTCAGCTGGCATGCCTTTAAGGACACCAAGCCAGCAGAAGATTATATTGAGCTTTCGAAGGATGCAGTTGATTACTGTGGAGGACTTCCTTTAGCTCTTGAGGTTATAGGAGCTTGTCTGTTTTTGAAAAACAAAGACAGATGGAAAAGTGAAATTGACAGCTTGAGCAGAATTCCAGAAAAAAATATTCAAGAAAAGCTTCTAATAAGTTTTGACGCACTGGATAAGGAACTACAAGATGCATTCCTTGATATTGCATGCTTCTTTATGGATAGAGAGAAAGAATACGTCTCAGAAGTGCTAGGAGCCCGTTGCCGTCGCGATCCAGAAGTTGTATTGGAAACTCTCCGTGAAAGGTCTCTCATTGAAGTATGGGGAGGGACGGTAACCATGCATGATCTTTTACGAGACATGGGAAGGGAGGTCGTTTGTGAAGCGTCTCCCAGACAACCTGGAAAGAGGACCAGAATTTGGAATCAAGAGGATGCATGGAATGTACTTGACCATCAGAAGGTAAGAGCTCAATGCATACACGAAAGCATAGTCATGCGTGTTTTCTAGTCAAACTTATTACAAATTATCTGGTGAAAGTTGTATTGATTTCCTTTTTAGGGTACGGATGTTGTAGAGGGTCTTGCACTGGATGTCAGAGCATCAGTAGCTAAATTACTTAGCGCAGGATCATTTGCTAAGATGAAAAGCTTAAATTTACTCCAAATCAACGGAGCACATCTCACCGGTTCCTTCAAATTTCTTTCAAAAGAGTTGATGTGGATTTGTTGGCTTGAATGTCCTTTGAAATATTTTCCATCTGATTTTACCTTGGACAGTTTAGCTGTTATTGATATGCAGTACAGTAACCTCAAAGAACTATGGTATGGAAAAAAGGTGCGAAACATAATACAATCCCTAAAATTTCTCCGGTGTGTAATTTATATTTATATGTTACGACTTCTTATAATTAATTTTCATTATTTTGCTCTTTATTATACAGATTCTCAACAGGTTAAAAATTCTCAATCTCAGTCATTCACAGAACCTTATTAAAACACCAAACTTGCACAGTTCAAGTCTAAAGAAACTAAAGCTGAAAGATTGCTCGAGTTTAGTCGAGGTGCATCAATCAATTGGAAATTTGAAAAGCCTTGTTTTATTGAATCTGAAGAGATGTGGGAGCCTAAAGATTCTCCCCGAAAGCATTGGCAATGCAAAGTCTCTTAAACGTTTGAATATTTCCGGGTGTTCACAACTTGAGAAATTGCCAGAACACATGGGTGATATGGAATCCTTAACTGAGCTGCTAGCGGATGGGATTGGAAATCAGCAATTTCTCTCTTCAGTTGGACAATTAAAGCATGTCAAAAGGTTATCATTGCGTAAAAATAGTTTCAGCCCGGACTCAGCAACACCTTCATCCAGGCTTTCACCGTCAAGTTCTTCTTTTATTTCAAAAAGTCTTTCATTTTTGAAACATTCGCTGCCAAAAGCTTTCATCGAATGGAGATCAATGAAAAGACTTGAACTTCGTCATTGTGGTTTGTCCGATCGCACAACTAACTGTGCTGATTTTAGGGGTTTGTCCGCTCTAGAAGATTTGGATCTATATGGAAACAAATTTTCTAGCCTGCCTTCTGGGATCGGCTTCCTTGCCAAGCTAGATACATTGGATGTTCAGAAATGCAAATATCTTGTGTCAATCCCAGATCTTCCCTCAAATTTACGCTTATTGCTTGGAGTTGGTTGCAAATCATTGGAGAGAGTAAGAATACCAATCCAGTCAAACAAAAGACTAGTTATAAATCTTTCTGAATGTAGTTTATTAGAAGATATTCAAGACATTGAAGGTCAAGGTAATATTTTCTGGACTATTGAAGTTGTTGACGGCTGTTATTCATCATATAAATTGCAGAAGAGCCTTGTAGAGGTACTATTTTTTTTGGTCTCTTTTGCATAAGAAGAAACACACGCAATTGGCACACACATTGATTAGTGTTTAAATTCTCAACATTTCTTGAAATCAATATATATTTATACAGGCATTGTGCAACAGTGGTCACCGGTATTTTATTTACAACATTCCTGGTGAGATGCCAAACTGGTTGAGCTACAGTGGAGAAGGTTGCTCACTGTCATTCCATATACCTCCAGTCTTCCAAGGCTTAGTTCTTTGGTTTGTCTGTCCACTTGAGAAGTCCTCCCGTGATTATTATTATATCAAAAACACTCACATTATTACTATAAGAAATAGAAGCAACGGTATTCAATTGTTTGAAGATAAACGAAAGGTAGCAACTGCAGGATGGATAAGATACATAAATATAAGTGAAATGGCCATGGAAGATTACTGTGGAAACGACGAGTTGGAACTATACATATATTCAAAGCCAACAAAGTGGGGGGTGGGCATCCACGGTCCATTGCAATTCGTACATGTTAAGAAATGTGGGGTCCATGTGATCACAAAGAAGTCAGATTCATTTGAAGAGTCTTCACCACAGCCATGCCATTGGCTTGCTCTTCCTAGTTGTGGTTCGATAACGGCGTCTACACCTAAGCAATGGAGTTACTATTTATTTGCGTCGCTGCATCAATATAACTTCAATGTATCGCTTTGGGGTAAGAATACATGTTTCCTTTAGTGATTTTTACTTTATTCTATTTAATTTGAGAGATTAAATATTATGATTAATGATTTTATTTTTCTTATTGAATCTAAAAAAATAAATATTATCTTTAATAATATTTTTTTTATTAAATAGTTAGAGTCTGATAGGTTTTATTTTTTATTTCTTGATTTTATGATAACATTTTTATTATTTAATTTAAAAATTAAAAATTATCTTTAAAAATTAAAGGTTGATTGTAAAATAATATTTTTATTATTTTTACTTTGCTCTATAACAACGCTTATTTGAAAAATATTGAAAACTGATTTTTGCTTTTTTACATAATAAACAAAAATTGAAGAATGTTTTTTTATTTTATTTCAAAGTTGGTTTTTTAAAACAAAAATGAAAACGATGTGTAATTAACCATTTTAATTATAAAATAAGTTGTTTAATTAAAAGTGAAGATGCATGCGTTGAATTTGTAATACCAAAATGCATGCGTTTAACTTTCTTTGTTTTCAAATGTGAAAGTTCTATTGAATTTTGTTGGTTTTCTAGGGAATGGAAGAGGTCCAGTTCGGCGCTCTTAATTTTGTTTCAATCCACGGCGAAGACAGTGAACAACAAAAACACCTCACGGCTTCGACGTGTTCATTGAAATTGGCAGTTTGCTCTTATGCTATATTAGTTTTGAGTCCAAATAGAGGTGTAAAAAAGGAATTTTTCATTAATGCCATCCTTCATATATTCAATATGAACGTATGCATTTATTGATGATTTGTTTTTTTAAGAATTGGTCGGTAAGAAAAGAGACAATAAATAGCTTATAATTAATATGCAAATATGTGTGTGTGTATATATATATATATATAAAGCTAACTGAAATAAAGATTAAAATGAAAGAGACTCGTAAAGATTTTATGTTAGTGCTCAACATGTTGTTTGTTTTTATTTTAAAAAAATAATAATTAGATTGACTAAAAATTGAAAACAATGACACATTTTATTTGAGTTTTTTTTAAATAAAACAATGGCTATATAACATTAGTTGTTTTTAAAATGAAACAATCATACACCAAGATTTTTAGTTTTTTCTTATAACGAAACAATGGCACATGGTGAATCCACGTTACACGTACTTTTTATTAAGAAGAGATTGTTGGGTATGACAAAAAACTTTTATTTTTAATCTAGTCACCTAAAATATCTGTTTGGTTTGTTAAATAATTTAAATTTTTATGATTTTATTTTAAATCTTGATTATATAGAAGCTAAAATAACTTATTTTTAATTTATAAAGACTTACTTTTCACATAAATTTTTATCAAATATATATATTTTAAAACTAGAATTAAAAGTGTTTTTCTTAAACCTATTTTTTTAAACCGTAATCATAAAAACTATCACAATACCAAATACATATTAAGAGCATGTTTAGAAATGCAGTTCAACCTACGTTCCAAAATTTTTTATAAAGATTGTCAATTCTGACGTTATTAATGATGTTTTGGACAGATAAGAGAAGATAAGGATTGTTACCAAGTCAAGAGTTGGTCACCTACTCATCAATTAGTCATCAAATTAATAATTACTAATTTTCGCCTATAAAAGGAAGCATTTGCCATGCATTTAGGCATCTTGGCTTCCAAATCAAAATCATGCTATTGCTTTCTCTCTTTATATTGCTTATGTTTTGCTTTCATGAATATCAAATTTATGCCTTTTGAGTTTGTACCAAGTGTTATACAACATAAATCTAGATTGGTCATTTAACAAGCAAAGTATTAAAGAGTGAACAAGATAACAAATACAAAACATGTTAGTATCAAACATTAAAGTCCATATTGAGTTTACATTATACTTATTCTTACACCATTAATGTAACATTTTCATCTTGACATAATAAACTTAACTAAACATAATGAAAGAAAGAAAAATAAATAAACAAAATAAGAACATAAATAAGATAAAAGTTAACTAAGTAAAGAAAAAGAAATGAAAGGCATAAACTTGATATTAATGAAAGCAAAACACAAGCAATACAAAAAATACAAAGAGAGAAAGCAAGAGCATGATCTTCATTTAGAAATCAAGATGCTTAAATGCATGACAAATGTCTCCTTTTATAGGCCAAAATTAGAAACTATTGATTTGATGACTAATTGATGAGTGGGTGACCAACTCTTGACTTGGTGACAATCCTTATCTTCTTTTGTCTACCCAAAACGTTATTGATAATATTAGAATTGGAACCACTTGAAAATATAAAAGTTGTAGCAAATTGTCTCAGCTTTCCAAGAAAAAAAATAGAGGTCATTTGGACTTTTACAACTCCAGATGTGGGCCAAACTCTGAATAGTGCGTGAGCTGTAGGACATATTCGGACTTCTTTGTTGTTGTTATAATTTAGACTTGAAAATGGCCTTTTTAAATCTTGGGCTATATGAAAGTTGTAGGCCTATGTCTTATCTTTCCATCCATATAAAGTAGACCTAAATCCGAGATCTACAGCTCTAAATATGACCCAATTACCGAATAGTATTCCAGTATAGACTACATCAGCATCTTTTTTCTAAGTTTGGCCATCTCTTTGTTTTTTCAATTTTAGTTCTTACATTCATCAATCAATCCTTTCATTTATGGCCAAACACTGAATAGTACGCGGACTGTAGGACAGATTCGAACTTCTTTGTTGTTGTTATAATTTGGACTTGAAAATGGCTTTTCTAAATCTTGGGCTCCATATAAAAGTTGTACGCCTATGTCTTACGTTTCCATTCCATATAAAGTAAACCTAAATCCGAGATCTACAACTCCAAATATGACCCAATTACCAAACAATGTTCTGGTTTAGACTGCACCAACATCTTTTTTCTAAGTTTGGCCATCTCTTTGTCCTTTTAATTTCAGTTCTTAAATTCATCAACCAATTCTTTTATTTATATGATAGGCCTGCTTTTAAAATGAACATTTACCATAAATTAAAGGTATCTTATATTATTAGATATATTATTACAAAAGCATGCTTTAGTTAAGGAGTTATTGATACTTTAAGTGCAAAATGATGATATAAAACCTTGATAAAAATGCACTTTTAAGCACTAATCACACCCCCCAACCAGCTTATTATTAGTCCCTAGTAATCAAGGCGTTAAATAGAAAAATAATTTGTAAATTCCATAAAGCAAGGTATTCACCATTCAACTTTCATTAATCTATCTAAATAAACAAACTCTCATTAAATTTATATATATGCTCAATACCTCTTAAACAAGATATTAATAAACCTTCCTTTTGTACTCAATATATCAACATATAGTTATGGGGCTTTACTTGGAAGAAAACAAAATTCTTGTTATAATGTTTAAGGTTAACTTCCTTGGGTTGAGATTTTTCCTTCTTTTTTTTGTTTTTTTTTTAAATATATATACATGTAACTTAAAATACAATGCATCTTTAACCCATGTAATGAGCTTTCAGCTAATGACTCCCGGACTAGTTGGTCTTAAGGTATTAGGTGTTGAAACACCCCTACAAGCTTAATAACTTGGGTTGCAGATACTGATACGTAGATAGTGGAATGTTTGATTCCCTTAAGCTTTTCTCTTCAACCCATATAACAAGCGTTGCGCCAATAGCTCCTAAGTTAGTTGACTTTAGGGTATTAAGTGTTATAACACCCCTTTGGGCTTAATTGCTTAGGTTAGGGAGGCTACGAAACCAAACTTATCTACATTTTTATTATCATCATTTTTTTCTTTTTTTTTGTTGTTTTTTTTTTCAAATTAGATACTATCCTTTTTTCTTAGTTGTTACCTTTAACAAAAGAACATAAATAATGTAATAATCCAATGTGCAACCCACAATCATATGTTAAAGTGTGTGTGTGTGAAAATTAAGGTTTAAGAATACATGTTAAATAAGTATATGAGCAAAATTAAATGATAACAATGCGAGAGTTTGTAAACCTGAATATTTCAAGAATGATTATGACAGACCTTGTGAAAAATGATTACTAAGATACATCTCAAGAGTCACTTTAACAAAAGAGCTCCTTTACTCTATCATCCTAGTAACAACAATTTTGCACATACTTTATGAAATAGAAAACACAATTAGTTAATTTTTTTTTAACATCAACTACCACCCTCTCCCCCCTACCAAAATAAGACATTGTCCTCAATGTTCTAAGGTAGAAAGATAGAGTATATAAGACATCACCTGAAACACCAAACACTAACAAACCTGAAATACACTTAAATAAATATAAGAAACAACAAAACATAAATACTATGCTATTAATTAAACCAAAATACACAAGTTTTTAGAAACTAAGACTCAAATTGCAGTTGTGATGGTGGCTCACATATTCCCTTGGTTTTACGTCCAAGAACGGCTTAAACGCCCTCTATGTGTTAGGGATAGGCTTCCCATCTGGTTTTCTTAAAAACCAGCAAACATGGTTTTTTTTTTGTTTGATTTTCAAGACTATGTCTAACATGTTCTTTATGTAATGGTGGCCATAAATCATGAATTGCACGATGCACATCTTCACTAGGGTGCATCTCAGAAGTGTCAAAGTAATAAATAACCCGGCGAGACCGGGGTCAAATCACAGAGAAGTTAACTATATAAATTATAAATAATAATAATAATAATAATAATAATAATAATAAAAACAACAACAACAACAACAAAATAATGATGATGATGACGGTGAAGATGAGTTAAAGAGGACTTTAAGATGTAAGATTAATGTGAAGATTATACAATGATAAAAACAAATGTCAAGGTTAGAGGATACACTAATCGTATTAAAGATAAGTAAAGTACAAACT